TTAGTATTTCAAAATAAATTCCAGAGCATATTACTACCTAACATCTACTGATTTTTAAAAATGCCTTTTGGAGCCTTAAAGTACTTTAGGTTTTAAATCACCGAGATAACCGTTTGGAACAACAATCTTGCCATTCCATTTGTAAAGATGCTAATGGAAACCTGAAATTCACCTCATGAATGGAACATATTATTATGTCTAAGAAATGTGGAAGAATATGCCTCTCAACAGCAAATAGAGGGCCCAGCAGGTATATTTCCAGAGAGCCTCCCTACTAGAGGGTGGCAGCTTGCCCTCACTTTGCCTGTAAGACAGGAATAGGTGGCAGGATCTTCTTCCTATTGGGTGTTTGCCAAGAATGTGCATTTTTTAAGAGAGGGGTGATTAAACTTTTAGAAATCCATTTGTCTGCAAAATCAGCCAAGGGTACTTCTTGAAAATTATAATCACAACAAGTTTTGGAAACAACCTGACCCACTCAGCCCAAAGCAAGAGAAAAACAAAATTCTTCAGCATTTTGGTCCAATACCCTCATTCTAAAGATAAGGATAATAAAGCCACGTCAAAAATAAAACAAAACAAAACACGGCAAATTTTGTTTTTTAATATGCCACTCACCCCACCACATTCAGGGTAGTCAGAGAAAAATACTGAAAGAAAACTGCTTTTTGAGTTGTTCTTATTGATTTCTTTGTGCAAACAAAACAATGCTTTTGCCAAACCGTTAATGTTGCGTATAAAAATTTTTGGAGCCATTCCAATGCTCCACTTCTTAATGACTGTCAGGTCACCACTGTGAACATTTAAAGTATTTCTTTACTATACCTTGTGTTGTGTTTGTGTGGGAGCCTGACAATTTCTTCCTTCATAACTTGGAATTTGTTAAACATGTACACAGTTCAAACCAAGGGGAAAACACAGTATCTTTAACCTTTGATGAAAACTCACTCAAAAAAGCCATTTTAGATCTGTTGAGAATAACCTGAAAATAATTATTTTACATTTTTTATAATAAGCTAGTCTTATCTTCTTTACTACTCAATTTTTTAAGTCGGCTTTTTATGAATGTACATATCTGAAGACTAACAACACACGAGATGATCTCTTTGTGTTTAAATTTATCTGATAAAATTTAGGGGAATCAGGACTTACATTTTGTCTATGTATGTGTGATGTGGGGGAAGGTGTATATGTGACTATTGCTGCCTGTCTGTCACAGGTTCTCATTGGTTAATGAATTAGAGCTCTAGGGACTCTAAGGAAAGGGATAGATAGTACAGATGAATAAAATTTTCCTGTTAAATATAGTATTGTAAATAGTATAAACTTACTGTAGAAAGTCAGAAAAGAAGAATGAAAAAGAAAATCACCTAAGAATTCTACTACGTAGAGATCTGCAAGATTAACATTTTGAGTAATCCCATAGCCTTTCATCAGTTAATGCTCAGGTGCTGTTTTTGCCTGGAGAAGGAAATGGCAACCCATTCCAGTATTCTTGCCTGGGAAATTCCATGGACAAAGGAATCTGGCAGGCTACAGTTCCATGGGGTCACAAAGAGACATGACTGAGTGACAAAACAACAAACAACAAGGCTAGTAAAGGTACTTAATCTTATAGGTTATTTCAGGATGTAGACACCCAACAAACTACTAAGTCAATCACTCCATGTGTACCTGGCAATAGTGAAAGGAAAAGTGTTCACTGTCCAGGAATCCACCATACCGTTTCTAGAAATGGAATGGTTTGTTCTAGAAATATCATTCAAATAACTGTCTATCCATAGGTAAAACTGTCAACCCTACTTGCAGCAGGTGCGTGGTAACCTACAAGGACATACTTTCATAAGTTAATAAAATAAGTGAGGTAAATGCAAACAGTAACAGAAGACCTGGGGTGGATCCCAGGGTAGAGTACAGTGTGTTAGTCCCTCAGTCATGTCTGACTCTTTGTGACACCATGGACTGTAGCCCACCAGGCTCCTCTTTCCATGGGGGTTTTCCAGGCAAGAATACTGGAATGGGTTGTCATGCTCTCCTCCAGGGGATCTCCCCAACCCAGGGATCGAACCCAGGTTTCCCGCATTGCAGGCAGATTCTTTATCACTGAGCCTGGCACATGGTTTCTCTCTACCTGACTTCACCACTCTGAAAGAAGGCTGTTGACACCCTCTACCAGGCACGATGGTTGCTGACATCCATTTCCATGTGCAGCACAAGGAGGCTCTCAATAACTGGAAGATGTTATGTAATGTGCCACCATTTGAATAAAAGCCTGGGAAACAGGATTTGTAACAAAAATATGGGAAATATAAGTTTTGAAAGCTGAAAATCAAATTTTAACACTTAGTTCATTCCCAAGATGTTTGTTGTTAGGAGGGCAAAACACAAAATTTCAAAAAGGGGGGGAATGAATGGTGGTGGAATTGACCACATATTTATGATGGCAGCATTTTATTCCATGTAGATGACCTCAATTAAGTTGATTTCATCAAAGAATATGTCTGTTAACAAATGAGCTCTAAATTTCCCTGCAACTGTAAAATAACATTATCTTCCACAGTCAGGTGATTTGCCCAGGGTTAGTAACCATGCCAGATTACCAGCTTGAATGATCAAGCTACTGAGATAGCTTTAGAAATATGATGATAAAAAGCATATTTAATTCCGATTGAAGATGCAAACACCTCTTCACTGAGAGTTCATAATTAGCTCTGTATCAACCATGTTTGTGAATTCTCATTGCACAGTACTTCAAAGTAAGCTGGTAGAGTGTACAATGCAATGAAATGGAAAGATGGCTGAGGTACATTTCCTTTAGGTGAATAAAAAATGATTACAAAAAGAATGATTCAACTTTTGTAAAAATGTTTGTATAGAGAGAAATTTTTGAGGATACCTGCTAGATGGTTACACATTAGTTAGCTAAGAGGTGGGTAACGGATGATTTATCTTTTCTTTTTTTGGTAGCTTATTTATATTGTTTAAACATTTAAAAATTTGAACAAGTATTGATTCTATAATAATTATAATTTTTCATCTTTTTATGCATATGGAATCTTAGCTTCCTGAGCAAGGATCAAACCCATGCCCCTTGCAGTGGAAGCTCAGCATCAATCCCTGAACCACCAGAGAAGTCCCTCTCATTTTTAAATAAAAGTCAAGTAAAATTTTATAACTAAAGATCACTGTGATTAGAACAGGAAAAATTACAAGCGGGTTGAGCCCCTGTAAACCAGAGGTTATAATCAGTAGGTCCAGTTTAAATAAGCTCTTTACTGAAAGATTTCAAGTTTGTCTTGAAAAATCCAGAGTCTTGAGAGCACTGGGCTAGGATGACCAGCTCCCTCAGCACAGCCACTGCCTACTTCAGATGAAGTCTCATTCTCTCATTTACCAAAACGTAAGCATTCAAGTTTTCCACCTGTGGTCTTAACAATGCAGCATAAAAGCCAGAAACCTTCTGCAGGGGCTGAAAATGTAACACTTGAAGATTAGTTGATCCTGATTTTCCTTCAGTTGTTAAAAGTGTGTGTGTGCACATATGGGCCTCTACACACACACACACACACACACAAATACACAAACTCTTACTGTGAGACTGGGCTGACATAATATTACTTGTATAGAGTATCTCTGGCTAGTAGAATTTTAAGTGACTTTTCTTTTACACACTTTGGCTTTCCCCCCCCCCAGATTTTCTAGAAGGAACTTCTACCATTTATATTTTTCTTTATGTTTAATCTTTTATTTTATATTGGAGGACAGTTGATTAATAAGATTGAGTTAGTTTCAGGTGTACAGCAGAGTGATTTAGCTATACATGTCACTATATCTATTATTTTTCAATTTCTTTTCCCATCTAGGTTATTACAGAATATTGATCAGAGTTCCCTGTGCTACACAGTAGGTCCTTAATGGAAAAAGTTTAGGAAAACAATCAGGGTGGGGGAGACGCTAACATCTCTTATCCCCTGTCTTCATGTGTGCATGCTCAGTCGCTCAGTCGTGTCTGACTTTCTGCGACCCAATGAACTGTAGCCCACCAGGCTCCTCTGTCCATGGGATTTCCCAGGCAAGAATCCTGGAGTGGGTTGCCACTTCCTCCTCCAGGGGATTTTTCCCGACCCAGGGATTGAACCCATAACTCCTGCATTGGCAGGTAGATTCTTTACCACTGAGTGACCTGGGAAGCCCCCAAGCCCTGTCTTCATAGCTGGAATTCATTAACCAAAGGGAACCGAAGGGCAGTAGGAGCTACACACAGATACATGGATACACACATGTTGAAAATCTATGTCTGAGTATCCTGATTCCCATGGGTTTTCTCACATAACTTAAAACCCAAAGAGTTCACCTCGTGCATTTCAGTCTGTAAATACATCTAGTCACAAAAAGAGAGTTTAAAAATGTTTAGTAGTAGAGAAGGCATGACGATTTTTAATTAAAACAACAACAACTAGTTACAACGTTAGGGGATTCAGTTCAGATTATTCCTGAGGAATCAAAAATGGCAGAGAGTGGACTTTCATCAAGCATTAAAAAGACTGATGTTTCACCCTTATTTGGAGGCTGTGCATCTGTTCAAAAAATTCCAAGTTATGGGAAGGGTGGGTGCTGCCAGGCTCTCACACAAACACAAAACAAGCCATGGTAGACCAATCATTGAAATGTACATGCTGATAATCTGATGCGTTTAGGATTATGAGCACTGCAGTGACTGCAGAAAATTCCTTGACACAACATTTGTGGTTTGGCAAAAGTGTTTTCTTGGTTTCACAAGGAAGAAATCAATCAGAACAACTTGAAAGAGTTTTCCTCCTTTTGGGGAAAAAACTGCCATCCATTGCAAGTACTTTTTTCCCATCCTTTTAAGCAACAACAACAAAAAAAACTAGTAAGGCCTTTTAACCTGCTCAGATATACTGAATTTTCAGGAATCAATGAAATCCTAAAATTTATTTTTAACCAACCTCGGAAAAAAGGAAAGCTGATGGTCAATTTTGAATAGAAAGGTGCTGCTGTTTCTCACTTCTTAAAACAATCTAGTGACATATTTAGATAACAAATGGCTTGTGCACTACAAACTACTTTATCCTATGAGTCATCTGTCATTTCATCTGGAGGAAAGATGGCCATGTCCTTACCTAAAGACTGGTAGAGCTCTGTCATTTTAGGATGGTCCCAGCAAGTTGTTTGGGTCTCGTGGCTAAAACATAAAACACAAAGAGAGACTTTAGAATTTAGAATGAATAGTAGAGAAAAAGAGAGATCAAAAAAAAAAAAAAAAAAAAAAGCACAAAATGCTTTTCGATCATTTGGCTTCATGACTTCAAAGGACTTCCATCCTGTACTGACAAATTATTTTACAACAGAAAGGCCCCTACCTTTGCTTTCAATTGGAAAAGCAATGTGATCATGATTTTGTAACCAGCATTTGTTTATTTTTTGCACCCACAAGTTGCGTGCACTTCTGTTATCAGAAAAGGGCCTGGAAATGTAATCAATAATTGAAAATCAGGGTTTCTTCAGCCATCCAACTCGGAACATACCGAAAGGACACAGACGAGGGTTATTCAACTCTGTCAAAGAGATACTGGACATTCATTTCAGAAATCAATCTCCTCGCTTCTCACTTGCTCTCACTGCCCCTGACACGTTCCCCTTACTTTCTTCTCTGTATCCAGATCTCATCTCCATGATGATGTCAGCTTAGGGTTTATCCATTGCCCGACTCATAGATCATATCTTCCCTCTTCTCATTATTTTAGAATGTCTTTTTGACTCAGCGCTCGCTACACCACTGCACCTTTTCCTATGTTTACTTGGGCCTGAATGAAGCATTCAGTTCCCTTCCATTTCTTAAAGTTTAGGTAAGTGTGGTTGCCGGCTATCAGCTCCTGCCACAAAAAGAACAGAACACCTTTGTTCCTCATTCAATTCCGGGAATAAACCTGGGAGAGATAACTACATATACTTTTCCTTTACTTTGGACCATCTACATAAATCACCACAGCATCGTATTTCCCGTTTTGGGGGATTACCTGGCTGGCCTTGATGCAGTAAAATGCAGCCTTGAATGGTATTTTAGTACTCATAAGCAGAACCTATTCATCATCTTTCAGGGAAAAGGGTGGGGGGGCAGATGGAGATTGGAGAAATGGCTTAAATGTGGACACTTGAAGGGGAGTAGAAAACACAGAGGCTGCTCACAGAAAGAGGAGCTTGGGGAGGCCAACAAAGTCAAGTGTAGGTGTTAAACCTTAGGATTAGACTGCCTCTGTGGCATACTCGCTGTGAAATTTGGGGCTGCCCCGCTCACCTAGGGGTGTTAAAGGATGACTTAGTATAGGTCAGTGACTGATACCTTCTGGCACTCAATATGTGGTCATTTTTGTTATTATGTGGCGCCCCCAAGTTGTTTTAGTCACTCAGTCGTGTCCGATTCTTGTGACCCCCATGGACTGTAGCTTGCCAGGCACCTCTGTTCACGAGATTTCCCAAATTACTGCCCCTTGAAAGCAAAGCTTTTATTAGTTGATTATGATAGAGATGAGGATCCAAGTTTGGTAAGTCTGCCACACCTTAAGACCTTTCGTGGGGGCAAAAGCAATGCTCAATATGTGCTACCTCTGTTTTACAGAAAATATGCAAAACAGAGAAACATTTACTGTGGTCTGCTAAATAGAACACAATCACAAATGACACAAACATGTGTGGCAGTTCCCCAAGCTGCACAACTTCAGAGACCAGCCCTCTGATATTTCCCAATCAGTAAGTGAACGGTGAAGGCCAGTGAAAGAAATTTACAAGAAAGGGTTCCTTGCTGAAGGGCTGCTTCAATCTCTTTCACACCTGTCCGTTTCTGTTTGACTTTTCCACAGAGGCAATCTGCATGTGAGGAGTAGACAGGGGCTTCTCAGCCGAGGGAATGTAGCGGAGTAGAGTCCAAGTCTTGCAGAGCAAGACAAGGAAAAGATACAGCGCATGCTGTAGGGAGTTTTAGAAAGCCCCATGTCGAATACATGTAAATCCATGGCTAATTCATTTCAGTGTATGACAAAAACCACTGCAATACTGTAAAGTAATTAGCCTCCAACTAATAAAAATAAATGGAAAAAAAAAGAGCTTAAAAAAAAAAGAAAGCCCCATGTCCACAATGGTTTATGATCTGGAGAAGGGGTGGGAGGGATGGGTACTTTATATGCACAGCACAAGAAGGCTGCAGCTTGCAGCTTCATAGAAAAAAAAAAGTGTTGCTTATTCTCAGGCATTTTTTTTTTAAGCTCCAAACGAGACCGTGTACCAATTCTGTACACAAGTGTCCGGCAAGGAGAGGTTACCTGCTATGGAGACCACCCTGCATTTAGGCCTCTGCCATTTCCTATGGCCATCATATGTGAGCCCCAGGGTGACAGGGAGGGAGAAGAGGGAGAAAGCACATGTGTCCACATGTACAGGCTCTTATTACACACACTGTGTAATTATAACAACCCATCTCCACCACGTGTGGGAGGACTGGAGCATCTTCAATCGATGGGCAGAAAAACATCTTTCTGAGCTGATAAACCAGACCTGACACAGACAGAGAGAACAAGTCTGAAAAGCCACCATCAGTAATGGACGTCAAATTGGGGGAACACGGGCAAGAAGTAACTTGTATCAAATGCGATCCCCAAAGAAAAGAGAAACCTGCCTCTGAGTGACAGGAGAAGAGACTGAATGGGAGCTTCAGGGAGCTCCCTCCCTCCAAAGAAGATTTCATGACTGTTGATTTACACCTCTACCTTTTAAAAAATATTTATTTATTTGGCTGCACTGGGTCTTAGTTGTGGCATGTGAGATCTAGTTCCCTGTGTGCGTGCTAAGTTGCTTCAGTCATGTCTGACTCTTTGCGACCTCATGGACTGTAGCCCACCAGACTCCTCTGTTCAAGCAATTTCCCAAGCAACAATACTGGAGTGGGTTGTGATGCCCTCCTCCAGGGGATCTTCCCGACCCAGGGATCGAATGCTGGTCTCTGGAGGCTCCTGCATTGCAGGTGGAGTCTTCGCCACTGAGCCACCAGGGAAGCCCCACTTATTTCAGTGATTAAAAATTATGAAAGAGATTTTAGAAATTATCATTTAATCCATCCATCCACAGAGAAATTGAAATGTCCATTACTTGGAGAAGGAAAACATTGTAAGCCTCCACTTCCATACTCCATTCCTGAGCTACCAGATACTAGTTAGTCCTACCTAGGTACCCATTCTCTCTCCCACTTACTTGTGATTCTGGGGGATCCAAATAACCTACATCAATGAACTCAAACCAGTCCAAAAGCCAGTCATCATTTACTCTCCAACACACAAACCTTTTATTTTGAAGCAATGCAAAGTAACTAGAAAAACAAAACTATATTTCACCTTTGCCGGGTTAGCTTCATTTCAATTACAACCCAGCAGTAAGTGACAGAAGTGAGCACAAGTGCAAAGAAGAAAAGAATAAAGGGTGGGACTAATCCTCCCAACTAGAAAAATAATCTTTTAATCATTTAATGCTAAAAACGCCTGGCAACATAGCTGTAATGACTTCGGCTTTGGGAGTAACTATAAGGAGAATCAAATACACATTTCACTGGATGTGGGTATTTTTGATGAATCCAAGGCCTGGTGGGACATATTTAACCACCTAGACAGATAGGAAAAATGAGTATGAACAGGATGAAACGGTAAACACAAACTTGCATAAGTCCTATCTACATTCTACTTTATAGGACAAATCAATTATTGGTCTCTGATCAATACTGGTTTTACAGCTGTATTTCTGACTCTGTGCCTATCTTCAAAAACAGGAGAGGATCGTCAGTAACTCCATGAGAAGCAGCTCAGGTTTACCTGGAATATACAGACAATATAGAAAAATATGCTGTGCTGGGGAGGTGGTGGTGGATGGGTGGTGGTACTGCTTTTTTAGCAACTGTCTTTTCTGCACTTCACTTTTCACATCGTTAACGCATTCCCCATATACCATGTCTAACTCAAAAGGCAATTCTGAATCCTGTTCACAAGTTAATGGTTACAGCTTTGTTCAGCCTTCCTGAAAACAGTGATGTTCAACATAGATCAAAATTCCATACATGCATTCACAGAGACTAGCCTCATAAATAATCCTTAAAATGCCCTTTAAATCTTTAAAAAATGTTATTGATTTTGGCCATGCTGGTTCCAAAACCTGGCATCAGATATGCCTCTCTGAACAGCCTTCAAACTCTGATCTCCTCCCTCCGCTCTTTTTTAGTGTGTATGAGCTACCATAATCTCTATTTTCCCTTTTATTTTGGGCCATGATAAGAACGTAAAACAAATTAAAATACACAATCACTGGATGTGACAAAAGACCCCGGCAACACTTATGTGTCAATAATAAGAAATTAAAGCATTACTCCATCAAGCACAGGACTGACCTAATTTCCTGCCAAACAATTTAAATTTTCTCTCACCTTCTTTAGTTTTGAGTAGTGTGTAAGGTTATTATAACCATCTCAGAGCTGTTCCTACTACCAGTGCTGGAATATCAGACTTACTGGAATTTTTTTTTTAGTTTCTTTAAAAACAAATACTAAACACTTAGAAAAAGTAACAAAATTCCACTGTTCTCCCCAGGAAAATGGCAGTTACCTAATTAAACTAAGATTTCTTCTGCCACCACTGTTATTTGGTACTGAAAATATTCCAAACAGTTGCCTTTTTAAAAAATATCTTTCCACTATTTCCCAGGGAGGAAAGTGATCCCTATGCAGTGATATAAAGGTAGTGTTCTCTTGTGATTTGCAGAGGATTAGAGTTTGGCTTCATATATAATCTGGAGCCCATTGATCCACACACACAAAATCATTTCCCTTTAATCTGGGGATCAGACTCTTTTTCTAGAGAAACCTTGGCATTTGCATGCTGAATGCTGAACTTGGCTGCCACTGCTGGAAGACTCGAAGGGTGGGAATGGGAAAATAGATTTAAAAGTTTCTGCTACTGTGGGTATGGGGTTTAGCGGGGGGTGGGTGTCAGTGTAAGCATCAGATACCCTATTCTAGTCCCCATTTCTTGTTCCCTGTGACTATTAACATTTTGTTCTGTTTGGCTCAAGCCAGGGCAAAGATGATTGTCTCCGTGACTGTTCCAGCTGTTATTCCTCTTACATTCTGTTTGCTTTTCAGGGTTTAACTCC